TGGCGGAAATCCAGGCCCCGCTCTCCCTTCTCATGCTGAGGTCTGTGCTCCCTCCCCGGTGAGGGTTGTGGGTGCGTATGGGCATCTTCCCCCTCTTGCTGGAGGGATCCCAGCTCCTGGCTGGGGTATTCCCAGTCCCTCTCCTCCACTCTAGGGGTCTCATGCTCTTAATTTCTGTATTAAGCCCCTTTGGGTGGGCTTTGAGCAGTGGCTCAGTGCCTCATGCCTGCAAGCTGTCCTCTGGGGGATGCCCAGGGATCCTTTGGGGGATGCGTGTGCTGAGAGCCCAGGCTGACGCTGCAGGGCAGGCAGCCCTTGGGGTCCCATGCAGCTCCCTGGGGATATTTCCCCCCAGTTTCTTCCAGCGAGCTGGAATCTGACACCAGAGTGGAGAAGGGAGAGAAAAGAAAAAAAAAAAAAACACTGGGAGGATGTAAAGCAAAGCAAAGCAAATGGGAACTTTTCCTCTCTCTCTCTCTCTCTCTCTCTCTCTCTCTCTCTCTCCCCTCTTTTCATTTTTTTTTCATCCTGTCATTGAGAAATTGGCAATTAGAGGTTGCATTGTAGCCTAATTGCTTGTCTGATTGAGCTGTAATAAAAGAACCCTCTGAGCATCTGAAGTATTTAAAGGGAAGAAATTACCCAGGGGATAAAAGCATTCAGATCCTTCCCGTAAGCAGTGTGCGGGGAGGACGGGGAGATGGAGGGGTAATTGACTTCAGCTTTTGTTGCTGGGGGGAGAAGGGGGTGGTCTTGTCACATCCAACCTTTAATGTTTTAACTTAATTTATAATAGAGCTGTTTATTTGCTTTAAGGGAGCCGAGAAGTGAGATTTTGAGTTGAGCTGTCTCCTGCATCCCCCCTTTGTCGCCTGGGTGGGGAAACTGAGGCAGGAGAAGGGCGGCCTGGATAAGGTCTCCGCAGTGATTTGTGGCCCCCCGCAGGGTTGCTCCCTTGCTTGTTTTCCTGCAGGCTGTGCAACTGGGCTCTGCTGAAGCTCCTGAACTGTCTCTTCCTCAGCGTGCAGCTCCACCGAGGGCAGCTGGAGATGGTGCGAAGGGCCGCCGGGACGGTAGGGAGCCCAGCCAGCCGCTCACAGCCCCGCGCCCCGCCGCCGGCACACCGGGCGCTGAGCCCTGGCCGCTCTCCTTGCAGCCCGGCGCGCCGCTGGTTTTCCTCTCGACGCACAAATCCCAGCTGGATGGGCTGCTCCTGTCCTTCCTCCTCTTCTCCCAAGGGCTGGGGGTGCCCAGGGTGACGGTGGGTGGCCAGGTCTGCAGCTCTCGCCTCCGGTAAGGCACGGCAGAGCCCAGCGCGTTGGCCAGGTCCTTGCCCGGGGAGGAGGGAATTGTGTTGGCAAACCTGAGGTGGGCGACGGGGGGGATGTCGCCCCATGCAAGGTGGGTGCTCGTGGTATCCTCTTTCTCCCGCAGAGCCCTCCTTGGCCACCTGGGAGGGATTTTTCTGCCATCGAGGATGGGGCAGACGGCGAGCGACCAGGACGAAGGGCTCCCAGGGACTGTCCTGGCCATGGTAGGTCCAGCCCGGGGCGATGGGAGGGACGAAACATTCTCCCAAGCTCCAAAAGCACTCGGCGAAGGCATTTAGGGCTGTCTTGACCACAGGCCTTTTGGCTGGGAGACGGATGCTGGCAGCTCCCATGCGTCCCCAGGGTGGCCCCCGGTGCCCCCCCAGCCTCACTCCGTCTCCTCCCACCAGTACATCGAGGAGGTGCTGAGGAGCCGACAGCCTCTGCTCATCTTCCTGGAGGAGCCTCCCGTCACCCTGCGCCTCTCTGCCCCTGCCCGGGAGTGGCTGGCCCTGGTGTACCGAGCCATGCGGGACGGCGCCGTCCCCGATGTCCTCGTGGTCCCTGTGGGCATCGCCTACGACGTGGTCCCCGGGGCTTCGCACGGGCAGCGAGCGGTGAGGGGTCTTCCCGGTGCAGTCGCAGCACCCGGACGGCGGGGCGCCTCCCTCGGGGAGCGGCGCTTCCATCCATCACCCCATTAAATGCTTTGGCCCCCTCTCCTCCCAGCACGGCGCTCGGCCCTTCGGCCTCGGTGCGTGCCTCTGGGCGGCGTGCCGGGCCCTGCGCCGAAACTTCGGCTGCGTCCGCGTGGACTTCGCCCAGCCCTTCTCCCTACAGGTACGGCGGCGGGGTTTTCGGCCGGGACTCCTGTTTGGATCCCTCCCAGCTCTGGAGGGTTTATTGCCGCGGTGTTGGCGGCCGTGCAGACCTCTGTGGGTCGGATGGAGGGGTTTGGGGCGGCTGGGGGGGGGATCCAGGGTTCTCCAGGACGTCCAGTGAACCCATCTCTAGGGGAAGCTGGGGCTCGCTGGGACCTTGGGGTACCCCAGGGCTCGAGCCAGCTCGTTGGTGCTGAGGGCCGCGAGCGCTCGTAGGCTCGTTTGTCCTTCCCAGGAGTTTGCGGCCAAAAACCTCGTCAGGCAGAGCTGCACGGGGAAGCCGCTGGAGGAGCTGCTGCTGCCCACCATCCTCGGCACGCGGTAAGCGGGAGCTGAGCACCGGGGCAGCGTGTCACCTTCGATGTCTGCTCCCTGGCCCTGGTTTCTCACCCCTCTGGCTCCCATTCTCTCCAGCCCCAGCCAGCTGGACAGCAGGAAGGCAGAGATTTGGAGCCCTGGCCCTGCAACAGCCGCCGGCTTGGAGGCAGAAGAGGAAATGTTGGTGACCAAGCTGGGCCTGCACTCCCTGAGCGGTGAGGGGTCTGCGGGGGGGGAGGCAGCGCTCTGTCCTCCAGCTGTCTGCCTCTCTGTGCAGGGCTGGCGGGGGGGGGGGGGGGGGCAAAGACCCCCAGCATCTGCTGGGTGAGGACATTCCTTGGAATGTCGCCACCGCTGCCTTCTCTTCCTCTGGGGCTCGGGGTGGGGGGGTTAATCCCCCCCAAAGCTAACGAGCACCCCTCCTTCCCTTGCAGACGGTGTTGCCTGCTCCGCCGTCATGGCTGTAGGGATCACGTCCGTGCTGCTGCTGCACAAGCACCGCGAGGTGAGGCAAGGAGGTTTCCAAGTTTCTCCTCCTTTGGAGCAAGCTTTCCCGAGCTGCCCCGCCGTGCAGAGGGGCCCAGCTCATCCTCCTCTTTCTCCAGGGTGTCTTCCTCTCCCGGCTGATGCTGGACTTTGCCTGGCTGCTGGAGGAGATCCTGCTGCGCCAGCACGACGTGGGCTTCTCGGGGCAGCTCCGCACCCTCGTGCACTACAGCCTCACCCTGCTCGGAGCCCATCTCACCTTCTACCGCCTCGCCCCCGTCAGTGACATCCTGGTGGTCCCCAAGGCCTCGGCGGAGGCTCTGAGCGAGCTGGGCCACCACAGCGCTGCCATCCTGCCCGTCTTTGCCAGCGAGGCGGTGGGAGGTGAGGAGCGAGGTGCGGGGGGGATCGGTGACACCAGGGATGGGTGACGCCGGGGGAACCGGTGACGCCGCTTTCCCGGCAGCCTGTGCCATCCGTGCCTTGCTGGTGGAGATGTTGCCCTTCCTGGGAGCGAGTGTTGGACCCTCTGGCATCGTGCTCGGCCAGGACGAGCTGCACCGCAAGACCCTGGAGCTGCTCCTGCTGCTGCCCCCAAACCTGCTGGGGCTCCGGGTAGGGGCTGGCGGCATGGGGTGGCACTGCCATCGCGTGGAAGTGGCCTGTCACCGCTGCCTGCGGGGCCGCAGGGAATCCGGCTGCCTGCCAGCCCCTTTTCCTTCTCTCCCCTAGCCCTGCCAGCCCCTCGACTACTGGAGCCAGGACATCGTGGACAAGCTCCTCCTGTGTGGGCTGCTGAAGACTGAAGAAGTGGGTGCCCCCCACCCTGGGGACCCCCTTCCCACGCTGGTGCTGGGTGGCTCGGCCCTTCCTGCGCCCTCCAGTCCCGGCTGGGAAGGGGACAAGGGCGCAGGGTCTCTGCTGAGGGGGGGTGGGGGGGCACCGGGATGCCGGTGATGTGACGCCCGGCTTGTCCCCCCAGCCTGAGAGCGAGCGCTGGATCTGCGACTTGGCCCCACGGCCCTTCAGCAAGGGGCGGCCCTGGGCCGGGATGGACTTCACCGACAGCGACAACGACAGCGAGGACGAGGTCCCCAAGCGCTGCTTCAAGGTACCGGGGTGGCCCCAGACACGGCCCGGCTGCCTCTGTGACAGGGTTTCACCAAAGCCTGGCTTCCCCCACCCCCTCCAGCTCAGCGAGCCCCAGGGCTCACCCGGCTTCCTCCTCTTCCTCTGCCGGCTCCTGAGCCCCGTGCTGAGGACCTACACCAGAGCCGTGGCTTTCCTGGACCGACCCAGCTGGCCCCAACCCGGTAGGACCCCCCCTGGGGTGGGCAACCGTTTCTCCAACCCCACCAGCCCCGTCTTGCCTTGGCTTTTGGGGAAACTGAGGCACAGCCAAAGCTCCCTTGCGGCCCTGGCTCTGCACCAAGACCAGAGAAGAAGGGCTGTGTCCCGCCGGGAGCTGGGGGCGCTGGGATTTGACCCCCTTTCTCTCTCCCCGACCCCAGAGCCAGCCTACGTCGAGGCGCTGCTCCAATTCCTGGCCGAGGAGGATGGTTTCGGTGAGTTGGGCTGGGGGAGGGATGGGGCCTCCCTCCTGCTTTGGGGTCAGCATACACACCCCCCTCCACTCCCAAAACCGGGCTGTGGGTGCCTGGGGGGTGGGATGCAGGTGCTCCCTTGGGGCTTTCTCTCCCTTCAGAGTACCCAAACAGGACCCTGGCCCTCAGCTCTCTGCAGACCTTCAAGGAGATGGGGGTAAGCATGGCTGGGCTCCACCAGCCCCCTTCCAGCCTCAAGCTTCCCCCCCCCCCTGTGCGACTCCTCTCCCTCCCCAGGTGCTGGAGGAGGTGCAGACCCCCGCCGGCCCCCTGCTCCACCTCGCCCAGCCTTTCCACTCCCGTGGGAGCCGGGGGAAGCTGGAAGCCTTCATCCAGCAGTTCACCCAGCTGTAGGCACCTGCCCTGTCCCCACCGCGCCGATAAACCCGGGAGCAGGGCCCTGACCTGGCTCATGGATTTATTTGAACCCCGCCGGGGGGGAGGGTGGTGGGGGGGATGGGGGTGTGGGGTGTGGAGGGAGGGGGAAATTGGGCGGGGTGAAATTTGGCGTCTCCATCTTCACACCACCTTGTTGCAGATGACGCCCAGCTCCTCGATCTCGCACTGCACCTCGTCTCCTCTCTGCAAGGGGCAAGGAAAGGGTGGCACACCCCCCCCCCTCTTACCCCCCCTGGGGTCCTTTATGTTCCCCCTCTGCCACCCCAGCCCTATTTCAAGCCCCCTTTCCCTCACCTTAAGAAACACAGGGGGCTTCTGAAAGGCCCCCACACCAGGAGGGGTTCCCGTCAGCAAGATGTCCCCAGGGACCAGCGTGACGAACCTGGGGTGGGTGCCAGAAGCCATCAGCTGTGGCCCCCAACCCCGATCCCCAGGGGAGCAGTGCTGCCCCCCCCCCCCCCCCATGCCTACCGCGAGACCCAGGCGATGAGTTTGGGCAGGGGGAAGATGAGCTGGTTGGTGCTGCTGTCCTGCATCACCCGCCCGTTGATGCTGCAGCGGATGCTCAGGTTGTGGACGTCTGTGGGGACAGAGGGCAGGGGTCACAGCCTGGGGGGGGGGTCCCCAGGAACAGCACCGTGGGACCCCTGGCCACCAGGAGCGCTCCCTTTGGGGAAAACACGGCTGCTCCGGGGCAAATTTGGCAGTCGCTGCCTCCTGCGTTTGCTGGGACAGTCTCTGGGCTGTCCCTACCTGCCACAGCCTCCTTGGTGACAAGGGCCGGCCCCAGGGGACAAAAAGTGTCGAAGGTTTTCCCCAGCAGCCACTGCCTCCCGTTCCTGCTCTGCCAGTCCCGGGCGCTGATGTCGTTGGCCACCATGAAGCCCACGACGTGGTCCAGCGCTGCTGACTCCTTGGGGGGGGGGGGGGGGTGACAATGGGGACCTGCTTAACTGGACATACACACACACACAACCCCCCAGACCCCGCTGAAATGAGGAGGGGGCTGGGGGGTTACCTCGATGTGCCGCCCCTTCTTCCCGATGACAGCAGCCAGCTCCACTTCCCAGTCCACCTCCTGGAGCAGGGTGGGAGAAAAGGGGGGTGCTGGGGGTGGGGCTGAGGGGGGCTGCACCCCATGTGGTGGTGGTGGGGTGGGGGGTGGGGGGGGTTTTCCTCACATTGCTCTCCTGGGGGTGCACGATGTCATCGAAGGGCCCGATGATGGCGCTGGGGAACTTGTTGAAGATGATGGGCTCCTTGGGGATCTTGACGCCCTGCTCCAGGCAGTGGTCGCGGTAGTTGAGCCCCACGCAGATCACCTTCTGCGGGTCCCCCACGGGCGCCAGGAGCCGCACCGACTCCCGCGGCACCCGGTGCCGGCCGGACTCCAGTGCCCTGTGGGGCCGAGTTGGGGGGGGGGTCAGCACTCCCGAGTGGGGTGCGGGGGGTCCGATCCGGTGCTGGGGGGGGGGGACACCCACACCCACACCCACCTTTGAGCGGCAGCCAGGCCGCGGTGGCCGCTCTCCAGGAAGGCGCGGGCGGAACGGGGCAGCGCGGGCTCGGCCTCGCTCAGATCCACCACGCTCCCCTCGGCTGCCTCCACCCCCAGCCGGGGCTCGCCCCCCCCGGCCCCCCGGAACCGCACCAGCCGCATGGCCCCCCGCAAGCGCATCTGGCACCTGTGGGCACCGGGGAGCAGATCCGTGGGATCCTGCCTGGAGTGGATCCTGGCAGCAGCCGTGGGGGGATCCCCCCCCCCCCCCCCCAGCATAAGGGGGGGGATCCCTGGGGGCTGGCACCCCGCAGCAGGGTGAGGAGGGGCCGCATCCTGCACGGGGCCCTGGGGAGAGGGGGAAGGGGCAGATCCCAGCGCAGGTGGGATCCTGGAGGGAGGGGAGATCCCAGGAGAAGGATCTCGGGGGGGGGGGGGGGGGGGGGGCTGAATCGATTCCTGGGAGGGGAGAGATCCCGGCATAGGACAGATTGGGAGGGTAGAGGGGATCAGGCCGTAGTAAGGAAAGGCTGGGGACAGTGGATCCCTCCAGGGGGTGGAGGGGGGGGCAGATCCCAGCACAGACCAGATCCCCAGTACAGCAGTGAAACCCTCCCACAGCAGGGAGCGGATCCCAGCATGGGACTGATCTGGAGACAGATGGGATCCCCTGGCACACCAGACAGGAGGGGAGGGGAGATCACCTGATCCCACACAGCCTGGATCCCGGGGGATCCCCGCAATCCTTCACAGCCCTGATTCTGCACAACCCCAGTCCTGGGGGATCCCTCCCCCTGATCCCCCCCGACCCTGCACGGTGGGGATCCATGGGGGATCCCCTCCCGCAGTCCTGTGCAGCGCTGGTCCTGGGGGATCTCCTTGATCTTGCGTAGCCCCAATCCTGGTGGATCCCTACACAGCCTTCGTCCCAAAGGTCCCCCTAATTCCGGGGGATCTCCCCACCATTCCACACAGCCCCGATCTCAGGGGATTCCCCCCGCCCCCGATCCCGCACACTGCCGATCCCAGAGGATCCCCCACCCGTCCCGCATCGCCCCAATCCCAGCGGGTCCCCCCCTCCCCCAGTCCCGCACATTCCCGATCCCTGAGGATCCCGCCCCCCCCCCCCCCCCCCGATTCTGCACATTCCTGATCCCAGAGGATACCCCCCCCCCCCCCAGCCCCGCACTGTCCCGATCCCCGGGGATCGGGGGGGGATCCCGGGGAGGCGGAGGGGGCAGGGGGGATCCCCGGTGCCACCTACGTCACGTGCCGCGTCACTCCCCTCCGGGCACGCGCCAACCCCGCACCACCCCGCGCGCTGAAGGTCGCCGCGCCGAGTCCCCGCCCCGCCTCGGACTGACCAATGAGAGCGGAGGGGAGGCGGGGCCTCGCCGGGCGCGCCGCCAATGACAGCCGGCTCTCTCGGCCGCGCCTCTCCCGCGCTGGAGGGGGCGGGGCAGCGGCGTTGCTTAGGATACGGGGAGCCGCCGCCATGACAGCGGCCCGCCGCCATGACAGCGCCGCCATGACGGCGCCGAGGCCGGGGCCGACAGAGCTCCCGGCGGGAGCGAGCCGGGCCGAGGCGGGTGTTTCTCACCTTTATTTCATGGAAATGCGCAGTGAGTGAGCGAGTGAGTGAGCGAGCGAGTGAGTGAGTGAGTGAGTGAGTGAGTGAGTGAGTGAGTGAGCGAGCGAGCAACAGGCGGCTGCGGAGGAGGAGGGGGCCGAGGCAGGGGGCTGGGGAAAGGGCCTGGCTGAGGCGCGGCCTGGCTTCACCGGCCCGTTTGTGAGGAGATAAAAAGCAGCAATAACCCAAATAACCCTCCCGGCTGCGTCCCGCCGCTTCGCTGAGTGACGCCTCCCCTGCCGCCACCACCCTGGGGCTCGGGGTTGCCCTTTCCATCCCCCCTCCGGACCGTGTGTGGCTGGTGCTTCCCCTTGGCTCCCAGGCGGCACGTTTCATCCCTAAGTCATCACCATTTGTTTTATTTAGAAAATAAACCCTCTCTCATCGTATCGCCGGAAGGTGGGGAGTCGCTTCTCTCGGCACTGGGGCCACGCAGGGAGGAGAGGGAGGTTCGTGGGCTTTCAGGTTGTCCTTTGGGAGCTGTCGCCTCGCAGCAGCGATATTTCGATATCCCCTCCCCACCGGCTTGTGCCCCGGGGGAAGGGGTCTGGGGCTGTGCTGCAGCGGGGTCTCCTGTGCCACCCGGGACAGAGGGATCTTCCGCTCCCCAAAATGTGTCCAGCTGGCAGGGTGGGCATCGCCAGGCGCCGGGCTGGGCTCGGGCAGACGAGCAAAATCATCCGTGTCCCTTCTTGTCTCTTGGAACTGTCGTGCCAGCAGCCAGGTGGATTATTTCCTTATTTCATTTAACCTCTCATTTTGTCTGAAACGGTAGAAAAAAGTTCCCCTCGGGCCACTCAGGGAGGCGCTGGCGGGGCTGAGCAGGTGTTCCTGGGTTCTAGATCACGTTCTCGAAGATCTGCATGGAGCTCATGATGTCCTTGTCCTGCACAGGCAGGAGGGAGAGGTCAGAGCCCACAGTCCCCCTTCTCCCGCCCTTCCTCTCAGCCCCGGTGTGACCGGAGCTCTCATCCCCCATCTCTCCTGATCCCCGCCCCCAGCACATCATTTTGGGACAGGGCAAGGAGCGGGGATATGTTTCGGACTTGGAGGCCTGGCAGTGAGTGAGGAGGAGGAGGGCAGCGATGCCGAAGCCCACCCAGAGCTCCTCACCTTCTGGCACGTCTCCAGGAACTCCTCGAAGGTCACCACGCCGTCACCATTCCTGTCCATCTTCTGCAAGGGAACAGCAGGGGCTCAGCGGGGATGTCCCCGACAGCGACAGTGGCCCTGGCCTGTGACACCCCGGGGGGGTTTTGGTGGGCACCGGGACGGGACGAAGTGGGACAGTCTCACCTGGAAGAAGAGCTCCACGTGTTCGGCGGGCGCGCTGTCCCTCAGGGTGGGGTGGGTGCAGCGCCCCATCATGTCGTAGATGGACTTCATGATCTCCAGCATTTCCTAGGAGGGGACAGAGGGGGTTCAGGGTGACAAGAACCCTCTGAACAAGGGCACCTTCATCCCCCAGCACCCATTCCCACCGTCCCCATCCCTCAGGGCGTGCCCCGTGGTGCTCCCACCCTGCGCAGCCCCCCCGGTCCTTGTCCCTGTCCCCCTCCCTCCGTCACCTCCTTGGTGATGTAGCCATCTTTATTAATATCATAGAGGTTGAAAGCCCACTTCAGCTTCTGGTGCACCGTCCCCCGCAGCAAGACAGAGAGGCCGATGACAAAATCCTGCCGGAAGAACCGCAGCCGTGAGCGGGGGACGTCCCGCAGGCACCGCTGGCTCACCCACACCCCAGGGACAGACCCTCGTCCCCCCTTGGCTCAGCCGTTCACCCCCCTCCAACAGTGCCGCGGCACTGCCATCGATCGTGGGATGCCCTGGGGGATTTTTTTTTTTCCCTATTGATCCTGTTTCTATTCTCAACTCATCGCTATTTTTAATCACCGTGGTAAAACCGGCGCCTGACCCCCCTGCCGCAGTGCCTGGAACTCTCCCGGCACAAGCTCCCGCCATCGAGGAGACCGAAGATTTTGGCTGCGGCCGCCGCACCGAGCTTTTAACCCCAAGCACGCGCGCGAGCGAGGAGGAAGATGTGATGAATCACGCCGCTGGGCACGCTTTGGAGCCAGCCGCGGCTCGAGGAGCGCGGTGCTGGCACAGCTTTTCCCGGCGAGGAGCCGGGACGCTCACCTGGAAGCAGAGAGCCCCGTTGCGGTCGGCATCGAAGGCGTCGAACAAGAAGTGCGCGTAGGTGCTGGCGTCTGCGAGGGGAGGAAGGACAGAGCTGGTGAAGCTCCCCGCGCCAGCGCGCGCCAGGATTGGGGTTTGGCATTTTCTCTTGATGCAGCCCCCCCACCCCACCCCAGCACCCACTCAGCACCCCCCGACTCACCGCCTTGGGGGAAGAACTGCGAGTAGATGAGCTTGAAGGTCTCCTCGTCCACGAGGCCGCTGGGACACTCCTGGGGAGGAAAGTGGGCACCTGGTGAACCCCAGCTCCACCCGAGTCTGGCCCCGGCGGTGGGGGGGGCCGGGCCGAGGGTCCCCCCAACACTCACGTTTTTGAAGCCGCGGTAGAGCGATTGCAGCTCCTTCTTGGTGAACTTGGTCTGCGCCAGCAGCTGCTCCAGCCCCTCAGGTTGGTGCCGTACAGCCGAGAGCTCCACCTCGGCATCGCTGCTGTCTGTGGGGAGATGCCGGCAAAGACCCCCCCCCGGGGGGGTCCAGCAGCCTCTCCGCATCATCCCGGGCTGTTTCCCACCCGGAGCCAACCCTGCTTAAAACCAAACCCCGACCCAATGGTGGACCCCACGCTCCCCTGGCGCCGGGAGGAAAAGCGGGGAGCTCCGGATTTCACATCCCGAGGGAGAAGCCGGCCAACCCCGAGGTTTTCCCTAGGAGCTGCCGAAGCCATGTCCACCTCTGGCAGCACATTCCCAGGACGCGGAGCATCCCGGAGCTGCCTCTCACCCTGACCCTGCTAATGCTCCCTCCCGCCTGCGCCCGGCCTGGCGGAAGGTAATTAATAAATGATGGCTCATTAATAATTCCAGCTTGGGAAGCCCCCGCGGACCCGTCCAGCACCGAGACGGGGATATCAAGAACTTCGGGCTGGGAGAACCGAGCCAGAGTTGGGGAGAGGCTCCGCCGTGCCGCATCGGTAGGGACACCCCAGAAAACCCTGGGGTCCCCTGGGTGCTGCTGAGGTGGGGTCACCCTCCCCATCTCCCACCGAGCTGGGCTTGCCGGGGTGTGAGGGGGCAGCGCCGAGCCCCTTCCACCCAGCTGCGGTGGGGGCAGGATTGGGGGGTGCCGTGACCCATCTAGGAGGGATTTTGGGGAGGTCAGTGGGGGATTGGGGGTCCCCGATGTCACATCTCAAGAGGGTTTAGGGGTCGGTGGGGGATTGGATGTCCCTGGTCCCCCAACTCAGGGGGCTTTTAGGGTTGAGGCAGGACTTGGGGGTCCCCAGTGTCCCATCTCCAGGGGGTTTTGGGGGTTGATGTGGGCTCTGAGACCCCCGACATCGCATCTCGGAGGGATTTGGGGGGTCAGTATGGGCTCAGAGGACCCCAGCATCCTACCTCGGGAGGGGCTTGGGGGTTAACGCAGGCTGAGAGGCTGCCGGCATCCCACCTCGGGGAGGTTTGGGGGTCACTGTGTGCTGGGGGGTCCCCGTCATCCTGTCTCAGGGGTTAACAGGGGCACGGAGGCTCCCGGCATCACCCCTCAGGAGGGTTTTGGGGGTCGATGTGGCCTGAGGGGGTCCCCAGAATCCCCTCAGCGGGATGTTTTCAGGGGGGGCTGGAGCCAGCCCAGTCCCTCAGGGAAGGTCAGAGCAAAGCTGGGCCATGACGCGGCAAGTGTGGGGGGCAGGGCGGGGGGCTGCCAGCTCCCCCTGCGCCCCCAAACTCTCAGGCTTCACCCCAAAACCTTCCTCTGGGGGGGTGCCCCACCAGAAGAGCAGGTTTTACCCCACAGAGACCATTTACAGGCCAAACAGGTCCTTTAACCCAGGGAGGGACACCCCGAGAGAGTCGGTGGGGGCTGAAAATAATTAATTAAAATTAATTAAGGGGGGGGGGGGGAGACACATGCCGGGTTACCTTCCACGGAGATGGGCTCCAGGATGCCAAACTGCTTGAGGACGGCGATGAAGAGGAGGATGACCACGGCCACGGCGCACAGCTCCATGCCCTGGATCCCCATGGCCGGTTTTGGGGGGGCGGGGAGGGGGGGGGGAACACCAGTATCGGGGTGTGCGTCCCCCCCCGTGTGTGTGCTGTGTGTGTGTCGTCCCCCCCCCCTCAAAAAAAAAGCAGGGCACCCTGGGGTTGGGGTGAGGGTGTCGGCGGGCGCGGTGTTAGCGGGCGCTGGGGCGGGTGCCGCGGGCCGGCCTGCGCCCTCCCTCTTGCCCTCCTCCCTTGGCACACACCCACGGCCCCCCCGCTCCGGCCCCACTATTGCTGGGGTTTTTCCATATTTTAATCTTTATTTATTTTTTATCTATTTATTTATTTATTTTTTTATATCGGCCCCCTCCGGCAAAGGAGCCTGGGGGTGCCCCTCACAGCACCCATAGATGCCCCCCCCTTCACCCCAGCGTGCAAAAACTTGGGGGGGGGGGGGTGGTGGTTGTTGATGTCCCAAACCAACACCAGCTTGAAAATGGAATATATATATAAAAAAGAAAAAAAGTTGTTTTGTGGCCCCCCCCGGGAGGAGGAGGGCAGTAACACACACACACCCCCACACCCCCCCACTGCCCCTTGGGGGGGTGTTCAATCGGAGTCAATTAGCGCCGGGGATGGGGAACGAGCAGCACCGATCGATGGGGATGAGTAAGCAGCCGAGCCCGGGCAAGGGAAGGGCTCCCTGGGGACCCCTGGGGGGGTGCAGCTGAGGTGGGGGCAGGGCGAGGGGGGGGCTGTCCCCATCCCCCCCCCCCCCCCGGGCTGTCCTGTCCCCATCACTCCGGCGATGTCTGTCCCCCAATGTCCTGGGGTGGTCTTGTCCCCAAGGCCCCGGGGACATCCGTCCCCCTCCAGAGGTGTCCCCGTGGCCTCGGGGAACACCCAGCCCCATCCCCCTGGGGATGTCCTGTCCCCACGGCCCCGGGGGCACCGGCCCTGTGTGTCCCCCCCCCCCCCCCGGGGCGTCCCGGCCCCACGGCCGCCATCACCCTCCCCGCTCCGAGTGAACCCCGGGGGCCGCGGGGAGGGGCGGGGCTTGAGTATCCAAGGGGGAGGGGGGGGCGTGGTCTGTTGCTAAGGGCGGTGCGATGCTCGCCCGCCCCCTTCCCCGAAGGGGCGTGGCTCGGCTTCCCGCTTCCGCCGCCGCCACCGGAAGCGCTGGTCGCCGCCATGGCCTCAAGGTTACTGCGGGTGAGCGCGGCCCTGCGGCTGCTGCCCGGTGCTTCCGTCCGCCGCTTCGCCGGCCCCGGTGAGTCGCGGGGGGGGGGGGGGGGGAGGAGGAGGAGGAGGCCGCTTCCTCCCAGGGTGACCGCGGTGCCCCGCAGGCAGCCTGGCCAGCGATGAGGAGCAGGCGACGGGGCTGGAGCGGAAGGTGATGGAGGCCATGAACAAGGGCCTGGTGAGTGCGGGGGGGGGGGGGGGGGCACCCCAGGGGGGTGGTGGGGGGTGTCTGAGGTGCCCTTAGTGAAGGGGGGGGTGTGTGTCAGGATTTGGGGATTTCACACCCCCCCCCAACCCCCCCCCCCAGGACCCCTACAGCATGTTCCGGCCGAAGCGCTACGCGGGGACCAAGGAGGACCCCAACCTCGTCCCCTCCATCACCAACAAGCGCATCGTGGGCTGCGTCTGTAAGTGCTGCCCCCTCCCTCCCCGCACCGCTGTGTCCACCTGTCCCCTGCCTCCCCCGTCCGTGTGTCCAGCCTCACCCCCCCTCTTCCTCACACCCCCCCCCCCCCCCCCAGGCGAAGAGGACAACAGCTGCGTCATCTGGTTCTGGCTGCACGAAGGGGAAGCCCAGCGCTGCCCCTCCTGCGGCACCCACTACAAGCTGATCCCCCATGAGCTGCCCCACTAAGGCCCCACGGGGGGGGGGGGGGGCTGTGGTGACCCCCCCCAGCACTCACTGGGGGTCACACTGACACCCCCCTCTCCCCAGCACCCACTGGGCATCTTCTGGGCTGAGCTGAGCTGCCACCACTTTGCCCCACTGTGTGTACCCCCCCCCATAAAGAGTTTGTGTGTGTGGTGACCCCGACTTTGTCTGTGCTTGGGGGGGGGGGGGGGGGGGGGGGCAGCACCCATGGGTGCAGCAGGGAGGGTGGGGAGCATTTCAAGCCGGAACTGTCATCATGAGTGGGGGGGTGGGAGGCGCTTGTGTCATTGGAGCGGTGTTTTGGGGGGGGGGGGGGGACGACAGACCCCACCTTCACTGTCACTCTGCCCTGGGGGGGGTGTGGTTGGGGGGGCTGCAGAAGTGAAGGAGCCTGGGGGAACCTCTGCAAAGTGCACCCCCACACACACTGAGCGGGGGGGGGGGGCTGCAAGGAGAAGCACAGCGAGCGGGGTGGGTGTGGCCCCCCCAGGCTGCTCCTGCCCTTTGGGAGGTGGCTCCCGTTGATCCCCCCCCCCCCCCCAAAATATCCCTGTGGATGGAGACACCCCCCCGCCTGCTGAGCCCCGGGAACGCCTTAGTCCCGCGGAGGGGGGACGGCGGTCTGGGCCCCGGTGCCCGGGGGGGGGGGGGCGGGTTTCGGTGGTCGGGTGGCCCCTGGTGCCCACAGACACGTGTGTGCGGTGCTCAGCCCCCCCCCCCCCCCCCGTGATGGTGGCGGGGGCGGGGCCCCCCCCCCGCTGCGGAGCGTCCCGGGGGGGGGGGACCCCGGCACGTCCCGGGGGGGCTGCTGGATCCCCGGCCCGGCTCTCGACGTCGCCGATGGCGGCAGGCGGCCCGGCCGTGACGTCATTCCTTCCCGGCCGCGGGGCGGGGCCGTGAGTCCGTCCCGCCTGCAGCGCGCGGCCAATGGGGGCTGCCGGCGGCCGTGATTGGCAGCGGGGGGAACGGCGCGGCCCGAGGGGGCGGGGCTTATCCAGCTGGGGGCGGGGCCCCGGGCGGCGCAGAGGGCGCGCGGGGACGCGGGGGGCGGGGCTTTCCCCCGAACCACGTGATGCGGCGGGGGAAGGGAACGGCGGGGGGGGAGGGGGAGGGGCCGCGCGCGGCGGAGTGCGGCGGTGACGTCACCCCACCCCCCCCCCGTCGCAGAGGGGCGGGGCGGGGCGCGCGCCGGAAGCGGGGCGGCGCGCGCGGAAGGGCCGGCGCGGGGCGGGCGGGCGGGCGGACAAGATGGCGGACGGGGACAGCGGCAGCGAGCGCGGCGGCAGCGGCAGCGGCAGCGGCGGGTTCGCGGCCGCCCGCGGCGGGTCCGGCTCCGGCGGCGGCTCCGGCGGCGGCGGCGGGGCCGGCCCGGAGCAGGAGACGCAGGAGCTGGCCTCGAAGCGGCTGGACATCCAGAACAAGCGCTTCTACCTGGACGTGAAGCAGAACGCCAAGGGCCGCTTCCTCAAGATCGCCGAGGTGGGGGCGGGCGGCTCCAAGAGCCGCCTCACGCTCTCCATGGCGGTGGCCGCCGAGTTCCGCGACTACCTGGGCGACTTCATCGAGCACTACGCCCAGCTCGGGCCCTCCAGCCCCGAGCAGCTGGCCCAGGCCGCAGGCCCCCCCGGCGAGGACGGCGCCGGCCCCGGCCCCCGCCGCGCCCTCAAGAGCGAGTTCCTGGTGCGGGAGAACCGCAAGTACTACCTGGACCTGAAGGAGAACCAGCGCGGGCGCTTCCTCCGCATCCGCCAGACCGTCAACCGCGGCCCCGGCGGCCCGGGGGGGTTCCCGGGCGGCCCCCCGGGGCTGCAGAGCGGCCAAACCATCGCCCTGCCCGCCCAGGGCCTGATCGAGTTCCGCGATGCCTTGGCCAAGCTGATCGACGACTACGGGGGCGAGGAGGACGAGCTGGGCGGCCCCGGCGGCGGGGGGCCGGGCGGCGGGGGGCTCTACGGGGAGCTGCCCGAGGGCACTTCCATCACCGTGGACTCCAAGCGCTTCTTCTTCGACGTGGGCTGCAACAAGTACGGCGTCTTCCTGCGGGTGAGCGAGGTGAAGCCGTCCTACCGTAACGCCATCACCGTCCCCTACAAGGCCTGGGCCAAGTTCGGCGGCGCCTTCTGCCGCTACGCCGAGGAGATGCGCGACATCCAGGACCGTCAGCGGGACAAGCTCTACGACCGACGCGCCGGCCCGCCGGGCCCCGGCAGCGGCAGCGGCGCTGGCGACGACTCCGACGGTGACGACGTGGACGACGACTGAGCCTCCCCTGCCCTCAGCCCCGCTGCCGGCCCCCCCTGCCTTCCCCGCATCCCCCCCCCCCCACTTCCCAAACACCCCCCTCACCCCCCCAGCGATGGGGCAAAGGGGTCCCCAGCCGTGTGTCTGTCCCCCGCCCCCCCCCCCCCCAATATCACCCCCCCCTCAGCCGCCGGAGAGAGAGAGAGAAACCAGCCCAACCGTGACACCGACTGCCTCCCTCCCTCCCACGCCGGGACGAGCCGCCAGCGTCCCCCCCCCCCGAGGACTCGCTGCTTTTTGGGGGGATCGGGGAGGGGGACAACGACGATGACACCGCCTGGATCCTCTCTTCTCTCCTGTGCCGACACGGTGCCCCCCCCCCCGCTCTCAGCACCACCATCGAAACCAGCACCCTGGAGCCCACGCCGCGCGGAGAGGAGCTGCTGCCACGCGCAGGAAAGCTTCGCCGGTGGAAGAGGAGCTGGGCCGGGGGGGGGAGAGCGACGGAGCTTTTGGGAGCGAGAGCTGGGGCGGGGGGGCCGCATCTGGACCAACGTCCATTCTCTCCTCTTTATCCCTTTATTTCCCCCCCCCCTTTTTTTTTTTTTTTTCCTTTTTCCTCCCCTTTCCAGACTTTTTTTTTTTTTTTTTTTCCCGGTTTGTTTTTTTTTTTTTTTTTGGGATGCAAACTGCTAAAACTCCAGGCGCCTGAACTGGAACCTGCACCCGAGCCAGCGCAAAGCTGTCAGGTTCCTGAAAATTAAGGCAGACTTTCTCGGTTTTGATGATTTATTACTATTCTGCCCGGCGCTTCCCTCCCCCGCCCCTTTTTTCCCTCTGACCACGGGGGGGGGGGGGTCACAGAGAGAGGCAGGTTCGCGCAGGCACAAAGCACAAGGAAAGCTCGACGGGACGCAAGATCTTCCCCTTCTCTCCAAATAAGGCGGCGTCTGGCTCCGTCCCGGCAAGGCCTGGCCACGTTTCCTTCCCGTTTACCGGTTCCCCGGCACCGCCGCCGGGACCCTCGGGAGCCAAAATCAGCCCCTTCCCCTCTTCGCCTGGATTTTATTTTTCTTTAGCAAAACCAACTCGCCGCCTTTCCTCAGTACCTCACGCCGGCGGCGGCGGCAGCTTGGTAGCACCGGTGGGACTCCGCACCCTGGCAGCTGGGGCCTTCAGTGTTGGGGTTTTGGGGGGGTTTTTCCTTTTTTTTTTTTTCGTTTTGGGTTGGTTTTCTTCTTTTTTTTCTTTTCTTTTTTTTTTTTTTTTTACCACCTGGCCGTACCAGCAGGGACTGGCTCTGCTGCCTCGGCCAGTTGCACCAGAGCCTGCAGGGTCCCTCCAGCCACCACCTCTTGTATTAAATGGATTTTTCCACTCTCAAATGTTTTTTTTTTGTTTGTTTGTTTGGTTTTTTTTTTGTTTTGGTTTGTTTTTTTTTTCCCCTTTTTTTTTTTTTTTTTTAGCTAAATCGAGTCAATCTTGCCCTTTCCAGAAAGGTATTTTTTTAGCCACGTTATCCCAGGAACTCTGAACTGAATGGGGTTCATCGCTCTTCATTCCAAAGTTTCGGGTCTTCTTGTCCGACGGCTTCTCCGGTTTTAGGACTTTTTTTTTTTTTTTTTTTTTAAATTAATTTTTTCTGCTATTTTTTGGGAGCTTGCGCGCGCCCGCCCTCCAGTCTCAGCTGCCTCCTTAATTTATTGTTGCGGATCCCGGCATCTCCCTCTCTCCGCTCGCTCTGTATTTATTGGGCAGCAAGGAGCAGCCGGCAGCGACTCGTCTTCGCAAGGTGGGGGGGGGGGGACGGGACGCCAACTCCAGCCCCCTCCTCACCCCAAAACCCAGCAGAGCCCCGGGGGACGTCGTCTGTCCATCCGTCCGTCTGTCCTCCAAACCCCATCCCGCCCTTCCCCGCCTCCGTAGCTCTTTTTAAAGGGATTTTTAAGGCGAATTTCTTCCGTTTATCCCGTTTTTAATTCTTCTCCGTCGCAAAGGACTGGGTTTCCTCACTCACACGGGAGCAATAGTCTTTTATCTCGATGTCCGAACCGTGTCCGTACTGTATTTTGTACCCTAAGGCAGCTCTTTCCAGTGACGTCCTGCTGTATTCACCCATCGGTCTGTTTTTGTGTTCACGCGCCTTCGGTTCTTTGCCGCGGAGAAAACGCTAAAACGCCGCGGAAGGTTCCGGATCGGGGGCGACGGCGGCGGCCACCGCTCAGCCGCCCCGGGGCCGCCCGGCTCCGCGCCCGGCGGCGATGGACTTGCTGGCGTTCGGCTGCCGGGAGCCGGTTGCAGAGATGCAGGCGGTACCTCTCCTTTTATTTTTGAAGAGGATGATATATATATATATATATATATATATATAAAAAAATATATATATATTCTTTTTTTTTTTTTTTTTTTTTTTTTTGTGGCTGAATTGCGGTAATTTAGCCTTACCTTTCTACTCTGGGGTAGCGGCGGGGTCGCCGCCGGCCCAGCTCGGCTCTCCGTAGCCACCAAGGAAATATGTGGAAGAGGAAAAAAAGGCAAATAACGCCAAAAACAAAAACAAAACAAAACATAAAACCAGGCCCCAGTGCCGCAGATGGCGTTCGCTTTGGCAACCAGAAACCTTTCTCCTGCCGGAGAAGCGATGTATCTATGTACAGAAACCTTCCGCAGCTCCATTTGACCTTCCAGCAAACGGGTGAGAAGAGCAGAGCACGTCGGGGGAAGAAATCTCGTAGCAAAAAAAAAAAAAAAAAAAAAAAAAAAAAAAAATCCATCACAAAATAAGATCAATCAGAAAAAAAAAAAAATTGGTTTTTAACCTGCCAGCGGCCAGCGAGAGCGATTCGGAGAGGTGGGCGGCCAAGCCTTGGGTGCGAGCAAGGACTCGGGCGGTTTCTGCGAGGGGGGAGATGGGGGTTTTTTGGGGGTGAGTTTTGGGGTTTTTGTTTTTTTTTTTTTTTCAGTTGGCTCAGCCTGAGGATGGCAGGCTGGGGCTGCTGAGAGGGGGGAGCCGGCGGGGACCCCCCCCCGGTGCCACCGAGGATGGGGCGCAGCGTTTCCCGAGGCAAGCGGGACGGCGGTTGCGCCGCAGCCGGGCTCTGGCCCCCGCACCGGCGCCGCCACGGAGCGGCAGCGCGGGGAAGCTGTGCTGGCAGCCGGGGCGGCCGGTGGGGTTGTTTCCTTATATATATATATATGTATATACACATCTCTGCGTGCGTGTGTATATATATGAGATTTGGTTGTTTGGGTTTTTTTTTTTTTTTGGTTTGGATTCTGTAGAAAAACGGGCAAATGGCTTTTTTTTTTGTTTGTTTGTTTGTTTTCTTTTTTTTTTTTCCTTTTGGTTTTTAACCGAAGGGGGGGGGGGGCGGAATTATCCCAAATTCTTGGAGCTTCCAGATTTCTGTCGCCCCAGAAGGGATGGTTTGAGAGCGTGACTATCGCTGTACAAAAAAAATATTGTAAATCTTGTATAGCGCCCCAAAATCGATGTAAATACCCAAAACGTCTGGGCCGAGAGCTGGGAGCCTCTCGTTAACGGTGGCTCTGTTAAAAGTTAAAACCGCTTCAATTTTTTTCCTCCCCAAGAGAAAAATATGGAAGAAAATCAGAATTATCCTGCCTTGTTTCCAGCCATTTTGGGGGCACGGGCACGAGAATCCCCTCGTGGTCCCTCGCTGCTAGCGGAGGACGACTTGGGGGTAGGTGACCGGTCCCTGGGGCTGCCGTGCCGGGACGAGCAGCGGTTTCTCTTGTTGGTGATTAAAAAAAAACAAAGAAAAAAAAAAAAAAAAACAAAAAAACAAAAACCCCTCGCCGGCTTCTCTTTTAAAAAAGAAAAAAGTTTAAAAAAAAAAAAAGAAAAAAGTATAAAAAAAAAAAAAAAAAAAAAAAAAAAAGAAGCGTGAGCGAGTGATGATGGTACTTGAGCTGATGCACAAGGAATCTCTCAGCAGATATTCGCTGCCGCGCTCACCGGGAGAGGTTTCCCGGTGGGAAATCTGCACCGTCTCGGCATCGCGGCAACTCCCCCGGCAGCTCCGCGGATGCTCGGAGAGGTTTTTCCTGGCAGGGTGAGGCTCGGCCCTCGGCGCCATCGCCCTCCTCTTCCTCGCGGAGCCGGTCGGGCCGGCGGCACCTGTGCCAAGCTGTGTTTGGTGCGTCGGCGTGAGATCCCGAATGCAGGCGCCGAAGCGGATCTGGGATGGAGCCGATGGGAGAGGAACGGCCGGTGAGGGGCACGGCGCCCGTGGTTGCAGCTCGGAGCCCCCCCCCCCTCCCCGTGCCGGCGTCTCCGGCATCGTGGTTGGGGGTCAAGGCCTCGAAACGGCGGCGTCACCGGTGGGCAAGAGGCCCCGGGGGATTCCTGGCACCGCAACGCCGAGAGCGCGTCCAGCACGGGCGGCTCCCCCGGCCCCGGTGGAAACGTGCCGGGCGAGCGGCAGAACATCGGCACGGGAGAGAGCTGGGAGCTCCGCCGGGGCCAATATCTGCTGAGAGACCAAACCGCTCACCCCGAAGTACCTTGATGAAAGAAGAAAGTTTTATTCCTCTTATTTTTTTAATGAAAGAAAAACAAAAAATAAAAGCAAACCATGCACTTTAGGCGGCCCAGCGCGGGGCTGCCGGCGCCCAGGGGGGGTCCCGTCCCCCCCCCTCTCCCTCCCTCTGTGGCCGGCGGGGCGGCTTCGGGAGACGCCGGGGAGCGGCCGGCGGTTGCCGAAGGCAGGTCCTGGATTTTACCACTAGCAAAGACGACGCCCGACGTGACGAACTCCTCATGCTAGCGAGCACTCCTTACCGTAGCAGATTTTTGCAAATGGAGTTTTACAAGTCTATATTTAAAGAATTGTATGTTTGTAACAAATAAAAAGTATGCGGAAAAGTGAATGAAAAGAAAAACTCATTCTGGCCCTGTCTCCTTGGGGGGGGGGGGGTCTCACCGGTGGATGGGGTGGGCAGGGTCTGGGGTGACCCATGGGGAGGGACACGGGTGTCCCGAGGGTTTGGCATGGCACATCAGGGTCCACCTTGTCCCCACGCAGGGCCGCGTCCCCGGCGGGGGGGGGGCACCACGGGGAGCTGGGGGGGGGCGCGCAGGATCGGCGCAGCACACGCGTGTGGCTTGTGTGTCACGGCTCCCACGGGCACCCTGGCACACACAGGCCGGCCCAGCAAGCTACGAGGCGTGTCGGCTGCGTGCGCGTGGCGTGTCCGCCGTGCGCGTGGCGTGTCCGCCGTGCGCGTGGCGTGTCCGCCGTGCGCGTGGCGTGTCCACCATGCGCGTGGCGTGTCCACCATGCGCGTGGCGTGTCCGCCGTGCATGTGGCGTGTCCGCCGTGCGCGTGGCGTGTCCGCCGTGCGCATGGCGTGTCCGCTGTGCGCGTGGCGTGTCTGCCGTGCGCGTGGCGTGTCCGCCGTGCGTGTGGCGTGTCCGCCGTGCGCGTGGCGTGTCCACCATGCACGTGGCGTGTCCGCTGTGCGCGTGGCGTGTCCGCCGTGCGCGTGGCGTGTCCGCCGTGCCGGGCGGGCTGTCGGCAGTCCCGTGCCGCCCCCCCGGCAGCGAGGCAGCCCGCGCCCGGTCGGCGTGCGGTGACGCAGGCGCCGCAGCCCGCGCCGCATTTAGCTCTGCGGCTCCCTGCAGGCACGGGCTCATCTGAGGACACGAGCGGGAGCCGCCTGCGCATGAGCCGCCGCCGCCGCCAGCCGGGGCCTGGCCTGACCCCAGCCCTGAGTTGGGGGGGGGGGCTGGATCCCCCTAACCCCTCCAAACTGGGGTCCCTGGCCCCTTCGGGAGCAGCTGGCAGCATCCCCAGGGACGCCGTCCTCCACGTCCCCAGCATGGCAGCTGCTCCGGAGCTGGGGAGCACTGGGGACAGCTGGGGGGGCCCCGGGGGGCAGCAGGCGCCAGCAGCAGTTGCTGCCTGCAAGGCAGGTGCGGGGCAGCGTTCCCTCGGGGAAGGACACCAGGAACAGTTGGGGGGCTGGAAGGGAGCTGGGGGGGGGGGGGGGCCGGTTTGCTTGCCGGCAGCAGGGTCACTGCACAGCCCTGAGCACCCCTCCCCACGGCAGCTGCAGCAAAGGCAGCGGCCACACGGTGCCCCCCCCGGACGCGGTGCTGGAGGTAAACTGAGGCAGGGATGGGGCGTGAGCCCACCCACCCGGGACACCCAGCGTGGGACTGTGACAGCGCAAAGGTGCCTTCCTCGTCCCCCCCCTCCTCCTCCTCCCGACGCTCCCCTACCTGCTCCATCGTCTCCTCCCTCCGCGGCTCCACAGCTCCTTCTATCCCCAGGCGAGCATGAAGCTCCCGAAGCCAGCGCCATCACCCCCTTGCTCTCTAAAATCCAAAGGTGCTCTTACAAAATCGAACCCGTCGTGTAAATCAGGTCGGATTTAACGCCAAGAGGGGCTCATCACGAGAAGTTAGTTTTTATTTCCCGTGACACGCTCTTCCCTAACACACCACCGACCCCCCCCCCCCCCCCCCACTCCACGTGAACAAGTTTTTGTGCTTTTTTTTCTTTTGGCCATATTTTATCTTTGCTGTTACCAGCCACCGTCCCTTTTGCCTCACTACGTCCGCCCGTGCCCTGGCCCAAATCCCCACCCCGCTGACAGGGCTGTGCTGCCAGTCTGTTACCTCACTGCCGCCGCCCTTCTTATCCTACTGGGCAGGACCAGCCTTTATTTCAGTATTTCCTGAAAAAACAGACAGGAAAGGACTCTTGAGGCACGGCTTGCCCGAGCTACCAGCAGGCCCCCGGGTCACCGGGGATTCCCCTCAGCTCGGTGCTGCCCACGCCGGCAGTTGCCTCCCCCCAGCACCGGCACAGCAGCAGCCCAGCTGGACCAAGCGCAGCCGTTTCTAACCGAGGTTTAAGTCTCTCTAGGCTGCGCCTCAGCCCCGAGCGCTTCAGTCGGCCGTGAGGGCGATGCCGGTGGGCGGGAAGCTCCGGCCTCCCCCGGAGGCGGTGGAAGGGAGCGGTGGGGCGGCCCTGAGCCGGAGACCCGGCTGCCTGGGGAGACCCCAGCCCGCGGGCGGGCGTGACCAGCTGTACCGGCGGCGGAACCGACAGAAAACTCACACCCCCCCCCCCCCCGTCCCTCAGCGCCGCATCCGCCCCCTCCCCCGCTCCGCGCAAACAAACAACACGGGGGGTGGGGGGAGAGAGAATGGGCGGGAAGGACTCTTTCTTCTCATTGGCTGCACCAGCTGTCTGTCTTCCCAGCCCCGCCTCTCAGGCCACGGCCGGCTCTCTCCATTGGTAGGCGGTCACGTCGCTCCGCTGCACCGCCCACCGAATCGCCGCGCCCGGGAACGCCCCCCCCCCTCCGCCCTCACGCCTGCGTGCCGTGTGCAAAAGGAAAAAAAAAAAAAAAAAAAAAAAACACCAAAACCAAAAAACAGCCGTTAAACGGGCCGCGGGGCGGAGCCAGGGAGGGCGCAAGAAGCGGCGCGGGGATTGGCGGCAGCCGGATGTTCAAACTAGGATGGGGCGCCTCTATTGGCTCGTGGCCGCCGTGGCAGGCCGTGCTCGCTTGCGCTCGGCAGGGTTATTGTCTGGCGGTTTCGGCGCGGACGCGGGGCCGGAGCTCGGGCGGCGGCAGCATGGTGAGGGGCGGGGGGGGGGGGGGGGGTTCCTGCGGCCGGTACCGGAGCCGGGGGGGGGGCTGAGGCCCGGGGGGGGTGCCGCTCCCCCGCGGGGGGTTCGGGCCGTCGCTGTCAGCCGTTCTCGGGCTCTGCCCCCCCCGCCCCCCCCCCCCCCCATCCCTCACCTCGGGCGCCTCTGCCCGTCCCGGCACGGGTTCCCCCGGTTGCTTCCCTTTCGGCGAGGCGCCTGGAAACGAAAACCGCTTCGCCGCCGGGAGCGCCGCCGTTGTGTCAGGGAAACTCGTTGGTGCCAGCGGGGGGGGGGGGGGGGGGTCTGTCCCGGTTGCGGGGCGCCCGGCAGCACCGACCGGGGCGGGGGGAGGCGAGCGAGGGCGCGGGTGAGTCCCTTGCGCTGTCAAACCTTTCCCGGGGGGGGGGGGGGGGGGGGGGGGGGGGGGGGCTGGGAGACGCCGCATCATTTCATCGGTTACGGCTGTAGAGGGAAAGCGCCTCTTTTCCAGCTGCTTTCCGCGCTTATATATGTTTTAAAAGTTGGTTGTGTAGTAAGGACGTGGCTGTCAGGGGCGTAAAACGCTTTGAGTGAGGAGCGAGCGGCCTGAAGGACGCCTGTCAAGCGGCCCCGCCGCCTCCCCTGCCCCAAGCGACGTTTGGTTTCCAGGGTTTGGACTCCAACCATCGTCTCTGCGTGTGTCGGCTCTCGGCAGAGCTCGCTGGTGGCTTCCCAGGGAAAAAATCTGGTTCCGTGGGGGCAAAACGCTGGGGTGTAACCCTCCCTGGTGCCTCATTCACCTGTGCTGGTGTCTGGAAGGCGGAACTCCTGGTCGCAGGGTCTGTAACTGTCGTTTAGGATAGGAGGAGGTTCCCGAGTGAGAGAGATAAGGGCCCTGATCGCAGAGGGTTAACATGGAAACCCGCTGTGAGATTATGCAATGCTGCAGAAAACTTGCGCTCAAGGATATCTCATAACTTGTGGCAGTAGATAAAAAGTTGCTTTTTGAAGTATTTTAGTCCTGTTTGGAGCAAGAAGAAGAAGAAGAAGAAGAAGAAGAAAAAAAAAAGTAATTTGCCCGCAGTGAGAGACCCGGCGTGTTTAATCCAGTGAGGTTTTGATGTGGGAACCGGCTTCCAGCCCGTGACTTCTGTGGGGAGAAGGGAAGGAGACGCTGCGTTTCTGCGCCTGTCAGCACAGTCCCCTCCGGATGAAGCAGTGAATTGCTGCCATCAACGACCTGACCAAACTCCTGTGAGCGCCGCATCCTGAGGAAGAGAAGGAAATCTTCACGGTGCAAACATCATGTTCTTCAAGGAGCCCTCGTTCCTCTGCCCCAGGACCACAGCTGGGAGGGGGATCGGCTTCCCCAGGGAGCCGGTGGCGTTTTGGCTGTGGGAAACTGTTATGGCATTTCCTCTGCAAACCCTGCAGAGGGTTTAGACGTTGGTGAAGATGGAGACAAACCTTGGGACTTCCGCTGTGAGACTTTTTTCTTCCTTCTTTTTAGTTCAATATCGTGTAAAGAGCTATCAGGCGGGCAGCTGCCAGCTGGAAAACTTGACAGAGAAGTGGGAAAGTTCACAGCTGGCTGATAAAAGCCCTTGGTGTGAACAGTCAGTGCTTTTCCCAGAGCTCTTTTATTTCTAGAGGGAGGAAATATTCCCAGATCCCCCTTCCTGATTTTTTGACTTTTACTGAGTGATGTTTTCTACTGATAAAAGTAACTCCTGATGCTTCACCGCAACAAAGACCGTGTCGAGTCGGTGCTTCAAAGCATTTTTGGACATGTCTGCTAACAAACCAGAGCCAACCGCTTCCAAAGACACTCCTGTCCTGGCATCAGCTGCCAAAACGCCGCACGGGTTTGCTGGGCGCCGGCATTCCCGCAGCTGGATCTCTGCTGGCAGTCCTGGCGAGGAACACCACACCCTGCTCAGTGCTGCGGGACGCCAGCCCAGCTCTCCTGCCAACCTCACCCAGTGTCACTCTGATTGTTTTATCACCTCTGGATTAAATATTTCGCCCTTGTGACTTTTTTTTTTTTTTTTTTTAAACCAGTGTTTGAGTTTGAACTGGGCTGGCGCTCCCCAGTGCGTGGTGTTAACTCCCACCTTGCTGGGATGGGACGTGGATCTTGGACATTCCAGTGTTAAGCTGGTGCCTTACTTTAAAGATTAATGTGCTCAATTAGTGTCACCTTGGTCTTCTGGGGATCTCTGGATCCTACGGTTTCTCTTAAACGAGCGGGAAGGGCTGATGGCAGCTTTCAGCTCCCTCACGGCGAGCCGTAATTCTGCCTTTTTAGAAGGGGATGGGGACTGTGGAGTCAATATGTGGTGTGAAAATGGGGATTACAAGTATCCAGCGTGTTTTAGGGCTCTGCTTTCCCCCTGAAGTGGCTGTACAGGGGCTTCTCAGGCTGGGAGACTTAATTTTGGGGGGTTACAGTTGCTGTTGTTTCTTAAATAGACCAGCTCTTACTAGCTGTTAGTGATGTCACAGTTTCTTTTGATATCCCCTGAATTGACCAATTTCCTGAAGGCAGACATGAGAGCCTGGCAAACCCACCTTCGGTTCTTCCTCGTTTCTCACTGGCTTCCAAACTCATGTGCTTCAGGGTTTCAGCCACTCCCCACAACATGATTTTAATTAAATCCATGATTTCTGGGGCTCCCTGATGATTTTCCATGCTGGAGCAGGAAGGGAATTGCCCTTGAATGACTCAGGCCTGGGCTGCAAATTCCTACATACAGAAACAGCATCTTGCCCTGTGCCCCGTGTCGGCGCCTGCCTTCAGAGCGGAGAAAATGAGTCTGAAATCAAACTGTTCTCACAACTGCTGCTGAAAAAAAAAACCAAAAAAAAACCCCAAACTGGATTCTTTGGGCTGGTTTCCCTGTTTAATGTGTTCTGGAAAATAATGGGCGTAGTGGGAAATGGATGACAAAGATGATGAATACCCAAGATGATAAAGCAGCTGCTGCACCCCTTGAACTCCCAGTGTCCCCTTGAACTCAGCTCGTTTTGGGTCGTTTGTGAGGCCACGGGTTTTCTGCAGTGGCAGAAGGTGTCTTTGCCTCTGGATTATGGTGCAGCAGGTCTCTCTGGATTAATTAAGATTAATTAATAGGCGTGTTTCTCTCTCGCAGGCTGGTGGTAAGGCAGGGAAGGACAGCGGGAAGGCCAAGGCGAAGGCTGTGTCGCGCTCACAGAGAGCTGGGCTGCAGGTAAGGCACAATGGTGCCAGCTGGTTCCCTGATCTCATCATAAAATGTGAATTTCTGAGTAAGACTTCCACTTCTGAGAGGCAGGTTGCCCAAAAACCTAATTTTTCAGGGTGAAAACTCAGTTTTTTGTGATTTGTGGTGTCATGGAGAGATAGGGACCACTGGGCTTTGCAGGGGGCTGTTTGCTCACAGCTGTGTTCTGACTTGGGCAGGATCTGTCTCTCCTTCAGAGAGGGTGTGAGGATTAATTTGAATAATTCTTGTGAAATCCCATGGGGAATGTGTGTAGGGAGGATCTGCCATGGAGTCGGTCCTGCATGTCCCTCGTTAAAGCTCTCGTTATAGGAGCTCCATAGACACGCAGGGTGGGGAATGGCTTGGGCCAAAATCAACAGTGTATGGGAAATTATGCAAATGTATAGGGGTCTATAGGTGTTAACAAGGTGTTGATCGCTCTTACCCCAGTTCCCTGTGGGTCGGATCCACAGACACTTGAAGACTCGCACCACCAGCCACGGGCGAGTGGGTGCCACCGCTGCTGTCTACAGCGCAGCCATCCTCGAGTACCTCACTGCTGAGGTAGGTCCCTGCGCTCGCCTTCCTCTGTCAAAAAAAAAAAAAATAAATAAAAAAAAAAAATTCATTTCCTTCGGGATCCCGAGCGTCTTCCCGATTTCTTGGCAGGTGCTGGAGCTGGCGGGCAACGCTTCGAAGGATCTCAAAGTCAAGCGGATCACTCCCCGTCACTTGCAGCTGGCGATCCGCGGCGATGAAGAGTTGGATTCCCTGATCAAAGCCACCATTGCCGGTGGAGGTGGGTATTGTCCTTGCCTTCCCCTTCCCCGCTTCCTCTCTCTAGCTGGGAATTTTAGGGCGAAGATGGAAAAAATACACAGGGAAATTGGCAACAGTGATAAATACTAGAGGCTCACTGCTTCCCTCAGTCTGGCAGGGGGGGATCCGTCAAGCGGGAGGAAACGTTTACCCCAGGATATCACAAAACTCAGCTGGGAGTTGAGGGTTTCTCAGAGTTTTTTGGGAAGTCTGCAAGTATCTGATGGGAATCCTCCTCCTCTCTCTGCAGGTGTCATCCCCCACATCCACAAGTCTCTGATCGGAAAGAAGGGACAACAAAAAACAGCGTAGAGAGGAAAAAAACAAACAAAAACAAACGACAACAAAACAAAAAAACCCCAACAAAAACAAAACAAAAAAATGGCCCACTCCCTCCCGTCATCGTACTGTACCTGGGACAGAAGAAATCTTGGGGATACATGGAATTTTTTTTTTAAGGAATAGTTCAAAGGAAGAGCATAGACTATTGACTGTAGAGAGGAGGAAACATTGGTATGGGCTTTAGATTCAAAGTTTGACACAAAGTTGTACCTTGTCAGGAGGCAGTAGCTGGGGTGGTGGTCGAGGGGCCCGGCTGCTCCCCTGGGTTTTATACAAAAATGGAACGGATAAACCATTTTTTACAAAAAAAACAAAAAAAAAAAAACCCAAAACAAACACCTCTGCTGTCGTGTTGGCATGGGGGGGAGGGGGGGGAGCCAGAATCCGGGCGGCTGTTTGGGCTCCCTGGCATTTTGTGTAGGGGGATGTGATAGCTGAGGCACCCTCCGCTCCTGTCCCGCGCGAAATGCAAATCTGTCCCCGCCCCGTATGTAAATGTACCCGGCGCGGGGCTGCCCCGCGGCCGTGGTGGGCGGAGCTAGCGCCGGGCTCCGCCCCCTGGCCCCACATGGTCGGAGTGCCCCGGGCTCCGCCCCTGGGCGTGGCGAGAGGGGCCGGGGTGTCTCGGTCTCGGGCATCACTGTCCTGCGTGGCCGTCTGTCCTAGACACGGGGGTGCCAGGTGTCCATCGGGGTCCTGCGTGTCTGTCTGTCCCGGCTGTCCATCGGTATCTGTCCTGGGTATATGGGTGCCAGGTGTCCCACTGGGGTCCTGGGTGTCTATCTGTCCTGGCTGTCCGCCCAGTTGTGAGGGTGTGGGTCCCAGATGTCCATCTGTCCAGACCACAGGGGTCCCAGGTGTCTGTCTGTCCTGGGTATATGGGTGCCAGGTGTCCCACTGGGGCCCTGGGTGTCTATCTGTCCTGGCTGGCCGCCCAGTTGTGAGGGTGTGGGTCCCAGGTGTCCATCTGTCCAAGCCACAGGGGCCCCAGGTGTCTGTCTGTCCTGGGTATATGGGTGCCAGGTGTCCCACTGGGATCCTGGGTGTCTGTCCTTCCTGGGTGTCTGTCCTTCCTGGGTGTCCGCCCAGTTGTGAGGGTGTGGGTCCCAGGTGTGCGTCTGTCCCGGACCCGGGGGTCCCAGTTGTCTGTCTGTCCTGTTCCAGCTCCCCACTTTCACTGCAGCCCGTCCCCCGGGGCGCCCCTGGCACCACCCCCGGGGCGCGGGGCTGAGGCACAGCCGGGCAGGTGCCAGGGGCCGACGGGAGGAGGGACCTGGGAAGGCTCCGGCACCGGCAACACCGGCAGCCAGTTGCATCAGGCACCAAGAGGCCAGATGGCCGCTGGCCCTGGGGTGGTCATCCGCCACCCTACCGCGGCTCTAGCCCCGTCCTGTCGGGCTCCAGCGCCTCGGGCTGCCCCGGGGACCCGGTACCGGCCGGCGGGGCCGGGCCCGGCAAGCGCTGCCTCGGCCGCGGTGCTGCCGCTGCTGCTCTGCTCACAAGATGGCGGCGGGAGGTGTTGGGGTGGGGTGCGAGGAGTCAGCGGCGGAGCGGGCGGGGCTGAAGGGGCGGGCGGGCGGCCCGGAGAGGGCGTTGGGCCACGGGGAGCCGGTACCGAGGAGCCGGTGGCGACGGCAGCGGGGCCAAGCACCGCACAATGGCGGGGCGGCTCAGCCCGCAAGATGGCGGCGGGGAGGGGCCGTCCTCGCCGCCTGCGGGCGACGCAGCGCGCATGCGCGCTTCGCGCCGCCAGAAAGGCGCATGCGCCCGCACTTCGCGCCGCCGGGCCGCGCGGGAGGCTCCATACGGCCGCGACGGGGAAGGGGAGCGTGGGGGGGGGAATGGTGGACACCGGTTCCCGCCCGCACCGCCGCGGTCAGCGGAGGGACGGCGGGACGGCCCGGCCGCTTGTTTGGTCCTTCTCAGCGCCCGGATGGCCGTAGGGAGCGCGGGGCTGCCGCAGCAGGAGAAGCGGCGGTCGGCGTTATGTAACGCACCTCCCCCGACGGCCGTCAGTGGTTCCGCCGCCCCGCCTCCGCGGCGCGTTCGGCGCCCGCCATTGGCAGAGCGAAGCGGCGGGGCGGGGCGAGAAGGGTATAAATAGAAGCGGGGCGGCGGGCGCCGCGTTCAGTCCGCTGCGGCCGCTTGGGTTGCTCCCCGTCTTCCGCGCTCCCGCCGCGCCCGCGCTCCCGCCCGCCGCCGACCCTTCTCCGCCGCCGCCATGAACGGGCAACTTAACGGCTTCCACGAGGTGTTCATCGAGGAGGGCACCTTCCTCTTTACCTCCGAGTCCGTTGGCGAGGGGCATCCAGGTGCGGGCCGCGGCGCGGCGGCGAACGCGCAGGCGCGGCCGCCTCGGGGCGGACGGGGGGGGGGGGGGGGGGGGGGGCAGGAGGAGGAGGAGGAGGGTGGGGGGTGAAGGGTTGGGGGGGGGGGGGGTGCTTTTGCGCACAGATTTTGGCGGGGGGCGGGGTGTGCGCGTGTGATGACGCCACCGGGCGCGCGCGCAGTGCGGGGCGGCGCGCGCCGCATTGCGGGGCCCGGTGCGCACGTGCTTCCCGCGTGGGGGGGTGGGCGTGGGGGGGGGGGACGCGACACGACACGACGCGAACCGGGGGTGGCGGGAGGAGGGGGGGTGTCTTACCGGCTGACGCAACGATGGGGGGGGGGGGGCGACCGGGGGCCACCGTGACTCAGCCGTGACTAAGCAGCTCCCGGTGCGCATCCCCCTCCCCCGAAGTGTCCCCGGTTGCCCCCACCCCCCCCCCACCCGTGGGGTGCCGGCTCCCAGCGTGGCTGGCAAAATGGTCCCACCCCCCCACCGTGGGGAGGGGGTCCCCAGTGATCCCACCCAGCACTGGGCTGCCCGGGAGGTGATGGAGCACCCTGCCTGCCCACCCTGGGGCTGTGCCCCCCACACACCCCGCAGCTGGAGGGTCACGGGGGGGGGGGCTGGGGGCTGGTTTAGACCCCCACCCCCCCCGAGCTCCCAGGCTGTGTTTCAGCGCGGTGCCGTGGCGTGCCGGGCTCCCTCCCTGCCTTTGTGCTCCCCAATTTTGGGCGCATGACCGGGAGGCTGCGCAGGCAGCTGCCTTCCCTCTGCCCGCGGGCTGCTGCCAGAGCTCGCTGCCTGGGTGCTCCCCGACTCGCGCCCAGCCACCCTGCAGATGTGCTTTCCTACCACCCCGCACTGTAGGTAGCTCTGGCTCAGCCACCAGCACCTGCAGCACCCCACGCCATAACCAAAACCATGCGGCTTCTCTGGGGGTACCTTTGGGGCTTCCTTCCCCCTCGCTGGAAGGGCTCCCCATACCTGAGATCTCACACTGCCACGAGGAAAAAGGAGTTTAGCAATCGTGTGGGGGTTTAAGGTCCATTTCCTTGCTCTTTCACCCCGAGAGCAGCCGGGGAGCCGCCTCCTCTTGCCCCAGTGAGGCGCTGCCTCATCCTCTCCTAAATCCGGCCCGAAAGGTCGCCGCCAAGGACGTCCGTGGTCCAAGGGAGGTTGCTTATTCACCACCGAACCCTGAGCGGCCCTTAGGAAGCTCCAGGAGCAGGAGGGGGCTCTCCTTCTCCCAGAATAAAAACATCCTGGGTTACTGGAGGAAACTGGGTATCCAGTGGGAGCTGGCCAGGCATGCTCTGGGGAGCTGGCACGCTCCCGATTCGGAAAGCTGGGGCTGGAGATGGGGGTGCCGATCCCCTTCAGCAGTGCTGTAGGTGGCAGAGCCCAAGCTCTGACCCAGCTGTAACTGGAGCTTAACTGGTAAATGCCTGAAATTCCAGGCTAATAACCCGCCCTGGGGACAAGGCGAGGGCTGTGTGCGCAGCCCGCTTAAGGGGAGGCTTGTGTTGAGCCGCAGCTCCCATTCCCAGCTTAGAGTGGAGTCAGCTGTGCCAAGGGACAGCGGCTCAGGAAGGAAGGGCTGTGCCGTGACGCCCTCCCGCTCTCTCTCTCTGTGTGTGTGTGTGTGTCCCAGATAAAATCTGCGACCAGATCAGCGATGCTGTCCTGGACGCCCACCTCAAGCAGGACCCCGATGCCAAGGTGGCCTGTGGTGAGTTGCTCCCCAGGGACGCGGGGTGACGCCAGCGCTGGGTGGGTGACGCCGGTGCTGACGGGCTCTTATTTCCCTTCAGAAACGGTAGCAAAGACGGGGATGATCCTGCTGGCAGGGGAGATCACCTCCCGGGCCGCCGTCGATTACCAGAAGGTTGTCCGGGACACCATCAAGCACATTGGTTATGATGACTCCTCCAAAGGTACGTGCCTGGGGTGGGGGTCACCGTCTCCCCGCCGGTGTGGGGGGTTTGGTGCATGGGGCTCACCGCAGCCTCTTGCTCTGCCCCAGGTTTTGACTACAAGACGTGCAACGTGTTGGTGGCCCTGGAGCAGCAGTCGCCTGACATTGCCCAGGGCGTCCACTTGGACCGCAGCGAGGAGGACATCGGCGCCGGGGACCAGGTGAGTCCCTGTGCCACCGTGAGCCGCCGCGGTGCTGCCGGAGGAGTCGCGGCTTCGTCACCGCCTCCCTCTGCCACAGGGCCTGATGTTCGGCTACGCCACGGATGAGACAGAGGAGTGCATGCCCCTCACCATCGTCCTGGCTCACAAGCTGAACGCCAAACTGGCCGAGCTGCGGCGTAACGGCACCCTGCCCTGGCTGCGCCCCGACTCCAAGACCCAGGTGAGGGGCCCGATGGACCTCGCTGGGAGCTCTGGTTAAAATACTGAAAAAAAAAAAAAAAAAATTGTCCCCCAAACCCTCTCTCCACACCTCCCGCTTCGCCCCGGCAGGTGACGGTGCAGTACATGCAGGACCGCGGCGCCGTCATCCCCATCCGGGTGCACACCATCGTCATCTCGGTGCAGCACGACGAGGAGGTGTGCCTGGACGAGATGCGGGACGCGCTGAAGGAGAAGGTGATCAAGGCGGTGGTGCCAGCCAAATACCTGGACGACGACACCATCTACCACCTCCAGCCCAGCGGCCGCTTCGTCATCGGCGGCCCCCAGGTACGGCGGCGGCTTTTCCCGGCGAAGCCGTGGCGGCGGCGGTGACGGCGCGGCGGTGACGGTGTTGTCCCTGGCAGGGTGACGCCGGCCTGACCGGTCGCAAGATCATCGTGGACACCTACGGGGGCTGGGGGGCCCACGGCGGCGGCGCTTTTTCGGGGAAGGATTACACCAAGGTGGATCGCTCGGCCGCGTACGCTGCGCGCTGGGTGGCCAAGTCCCTGATCAAGGCCGGGCTGTGCCGCAGGGTTCTGGTGCAGGTGGGTGCAGGCGGGTCTCCCCCTTCCCCGTGAAATTGGGGTGGGGGAGCTCCTCAGAC